ACAGAAATCCAGAATGCAAAATCACACTGAAGTCCAAGTATTCAAAGCCAAAGCAGATAGCACATGGAACCGAGTAACCATCCCATTGAGAATGATACAGAAGAATCGTGAGTCAATGTCCATGCCCACCAGGGCAACACCAACAGCATAACCCAAATGTAGCTCTCTCTTGTGAATGGCGCCAGGCGTCCTATCTACTCTACAGCCTATCCTACAACTACAGCAATGAACAGCAACCAGACAACTTGACTACCAGCGAGTGATGATGTCAACACCAATGCAGACCTCCACCATCACCAGGTACGTGTCCTCTTCCCCACACTCTCCCTTGTTACCCACACAGCGCCCTTCACCTCCGAAGTACCTTCGCCCTCACCTCCCCTGCACCCTCATGCGGCCCGGCTATGGCCACCAGTGCCCTGCACGCAGGCAGCGCCCTACCGCCTAGCGCTGGCCTGCTCTGTCTTAGCACACTGCTCTGCATAGCGCTGCACACTTGCATCCGCGCAGCGTGCCCGCATATGCCTCCCTGCTGCCTCGCCCTGCTTGCCTATATGCCAGTGCAGCGTGTGGGCGGCCTCCCTTCAGCCTGTGACCGGGGCCCAGAGGCTGAAGCCAACTCGATACAGTTGGGCCCCGGGGCAATGCAGTTACACCTCCTTCATCAAGGCCTGCGGCCAGATTCAGACAGTGGGCCGATTTCCCTTTGGCATTTTCGGCCTCTCTACCCAGCATGCATTGTCAGCCTCACGTTCGAGTGCCCAGGGCCTAACTAACTCAGAGGCCCTGGGCATTTCAGCATTTGCTGAAATCCGAGACTCGGTGCACTTCAACCAACTGGCGTGCTGCAACTGTATAGACCCCACTTCGTGAAATGTTGGCACAGAGGGCTCTTGTTGATTTGCTGGCCCGCCTTCACTTAGGGCGGGCACTAGGCTTGCTGGGGCCTTAGCCCAGAACATGTACATCATGGCAAGGCCCCTACTTGAGGGCTCAATCCTCACAATAACTAACAAGTAACCAATTTTCAACCACTTGCACAACAGCCAAGTCACGGCCCAGGCTCCCAACGACCCCACTCAAGCTTCGCAATATTAAACCTAGTAATTAAATTATTAAAGACAAATCAATTATCGAATCTCAAATACAAGGGTACAAACAACTACTTTAGTTGAGGGTTATTTTGGAACTCCCAAGCTTAATCGTGGATAAAACTTCATAAAGTATATTAATAACAAACAAAAGAAAAATTCAATTAAGGTACACCCATCTTTTTTCCAAAGCCTTTCAGAAATCCAATTAAGGTACACACGTTTAAACCTTAAACCGTATTTGAGACTACAGTGTACACACGTTTAAGGTATACTCCCAAGTGCCTTGGCGTGATGTGCACTCCAGGAGATTTCCCCCTCCACACTCTAAACAATCCTATCCCAACAACCCCTTTATCAAGTAAAATATTGATACCCTTTTGAAGTTTTAATGGATCGATTTCTCCACGTGGATATTTTTTAAAATCGACAGCGATTTTTCAACCAGAAGCACCAGTTTAAAAGCTGCAAATTGAGGTGATGCAAGTCTACCACCTTCACGCAAATAGAATCACAGGTCATAATAGCTGTATTTGAGGCAACTTCCCGTCTAGATACCATGATAAAGACCAGGCTTTCTTCTATTCGACACCCGGTCATTATAACTGCGCATTTGGGGCAACCTTCTGTCTAGATACGGCGATATTGGTCACACATTCTGTTCGGGTGAAGATCGTGGCCCCGCTTTTGTAGCTGAGATTTACACGCAACACCTGCCGCATCCCTCTGAAGAGC